ACTATGTCAGCTTCAGCATGCTTACATGCTACGATAGCAGGGTGGTCGTCGAATGACGCACCTCTTCTGCCAGCATGGGCTCGTCTAGGAGAATTTGGTTCCTGAGGGGCCTCCCTCGTTCCAGATGGAGGTGACGGTCCCCTAGGTACAGAACTGAAGGCCGGATCTGGGAGACCAAGCGTATCTATTCTCTGCGCGAGGCTATAGGTAACACGTTTTGGTGGTGGTATAGGTCGCGGGCCAGCCGGAGGGTTTGTTCCTGTGATCGGGACGGTGGCGGCTCGTTCGTAGGATGTTCCTTGTTCAGGGCTAGGCAGTTTATTCAAGTCAACAGGTGACGCGACATATACATTCTCCGGTCTTCCAACAACATCTTTCCAACTCGATCCCATGTCGTCGCCTAAATCGGTGAATTGACTCTCACTGCCGGAGGTGCCGCCAGTTCTTCGTGAGCTTGCCGTGTCATCTCGTTGAATCACATCCCAATTACCGGTGCCTAGCCTCTCTAATGCTTCGCTATTTGCTGTCCTTAGCGAGCTGAGACTCTTGCCATGGAGGGCTTTGAGGACGAGGGGAGGTCGGGTGGAGCTAGTTCCTTGATTGCTTCCGGGCTCCGAAATGTTCGTGATTCGGCTAATGTTACGACTGCCGTCTTCACTTCCCGCCTCCTTGATGGGTATCAGTCCCAAGCCGAGCATGGGTGGGGGTGGATTGGGATCTCTCAAGTCTATGTACTCGTAAGGCGGAGGAGCAATGACATGTCTACCTCTGCTACTTCTGGCGTGTCCTTGCTCGCTACTGTTGAACAATGAAGACAGAGCAGACAGCGTTCGGGTCAAGGTGACACCCAATCGACTTCCGCTCGAAGTTGCACGTTGTAGTTGTGATTCTTTGGGGTGCAATGTTGGACTATGGACCCGCGGACTGCCGTAGTGCGAAGAGTCTGCGGCCGGTGTTCGTATTGTGGTATTGTGGGTTGTATGCGAGTCGGATCCATGGGAGTCTGAAGGGGCTGAAGCGATTGAGGGAACTGTGGCTAGAGGGAAATATCCAATTGCGCCTGCTCTTGAAGTTTCGGCGACGGGCTGAATCTCGCTAGCCTTCCGGTTAAGAACCAGAGCTGAGTATTCGTCAGGACCCGATGTGGAGGCCCGTTTGAGCCTTTCATGTTGAAGTGCCATTGCTCTTTGATATTCTTCCTCGACACCAAACTCATCACCGAAAGGATCGGCATGATTATTAGAGACGTAGGAGGAGCCTCTTCGCCAAGCGCTCGGTGGAACAGCTGCTCTTCTCGTAGTTCCCACACCAGGGTACGAATCTTCTTTGTAGTCCCTAGTTGGAGATGCTACGTTGGCTATTCCGAAGACAGATCGTAGACTGCTGACGCTTGCGTTGACTAGAGATCCTATGGCGGATGGTGCTCCGCCAAAGCTGCTCCAACGTGACTGACGCCAGCTATTACCGCTACCACTTGTCCCAGTCCTGCGTGCTCTTGGTCGTTGTGCGGTAGCAATGTCAAGTGCTTCTTCATCGCCAAAGATATCG